ACAGCTGAATGAAGGACAGGATCATTGGATATGGAACTGCCGGGCCTGGGTATTTGCATGTTGCTTATCTTCTTAAAGGCTTTCCCAGGCACTCTTACCTAAGTAGATCAGTCTGCCACTCACTGTGTTCTCTCACTTCACCTTCTGACATCATCTGCATGCCTTTTCACAGTCTGAAAATCTTGATTTGTCTACTTGTTTATTGCCTTTCCTCCTAAGTAGCCTCTGAGTTTTTAGGAAACTGTCAGTTTGCTCACTCCTGGATTCTTGGTGCCCTGTGCAAGTTCCAGCATATATTAGATTCTCTATGTTCTCATTAGAAAGGAGAAGAGAAGGAATAAAGGGAGGAAAGGAGGGTGGGAAATACTCTTTAACTAGTCCTTTTATTTATTACAAGCTTGGCAGGAAAAAGTAGAGCAATTCATTGAAATCTGACTTTCAACTTTCCCCCCATCCCAATTTTTTTGGTATATTTGATATATTTCTAAAATTTAATTGTGAGAGTATTGAACTTCGACCCATACATTTTGGCAGTTAAAAAGTTATAGATCACCTTATGCCATGGCTCTTAAACTTTATTCATAAGCAGTAACAACTTTTCTTTCAAGTGAAATCTCATATGGAATCCTCATGTATGGAAGAGACAAAAGCTCTGCTCTGGCTAAAGTAGGGGTTAGGATCTCAGAATCCTGCCCTGGGGCTCTGATGAACAGTTAAAAACACTGATGTGGTCCAACCCCTCAATTTGCCTAAAGAGGTAAATAACTTGACCAAGATCAAATGCCCAGTCAGAGCCCTAGCTGGGATTAGGGCCCAGGCTTCTCCCACATCGGTGCCCTTTCTACAGAACCATTTCACTGGGATGTGAATGTGGTGCCTGAGGACTAGTTCACAGGCAAAGGTATTGCCCACTTTTGGACTTGTAGGATATAAATAATAATAGCTACTTATTTAATCTTCCTGTGTTCTGGGCCTACATGTGCACTTGAATTCTCACAACAGCCTAGTGAGGTATAGATACTATTATTATCCCATCTTCCACATGGTTACATTGGGACTTAGGGCAGTGCAGGGATGTGCTGAGCCATCATACCTCTATCAGAGATGGCGAGACCAAGATGCATTTCTGCAGCTGGAGGTAGTACTGCATTTTAACAGCGGGGAGATATACTCTGCCTAATACATAATTCTAGAAAACTTGCCCCAGGCCATACAAAAGTAAATGCATGAGTTATATCTGTCCCTACTTTATTCAGTAGAAGTTTGTGTCACAGCCAGTTTCTGCTCATCCAGAATGTCTCAAGTGCATGAATGCCACCTTCAAGTGAACAGCCCGGTTTCCAGCACAGTCGGCCAACAGGAAGAGCACTGCATTCAGATCTCTGACATCCCACTGGATGGGAAATGGTCAGCTCTTCACAGCTCCTCCTGGGCTGTAACACACTTGCTGAATATCAATTACCCTGGACGCGGTGCCCTTAACACTTACTAAAATGTGTTTTCCTGGAGCTTGTGTGAAATGTAAAAATGGGAAGTTAAGATTTCAGAACTTATTTGAGAAAACTACTAAAATGACCTTTTGAAAATGAACCATACTTTGCTCAAAGAATAGTTGTCAATTTGTTTTTGATATTTGTTCCTTTACAGTTATGACCCTTAAATTATTCATGCTTACCAGCTCCAAAATGGAATAATAACGACCTCTCTTTTCAGGCCTGTAGCCCTATCTTGCAGTTTACATAGATTTTGAGTAAGAAAGGCATTCAGAAGGAGTTTGGGAGTTGCCTGAGTCTCATAAAAATAATATTCTTGTACCTTTTTTATGGCAAAGCCACACAGAATATTCCCACATGGACATTGATTAATCTCCCATGAGATATAAATAGGTAGCAGATGCTTGCTTTATAGATGTAATATCCAAATTACTAGTAAAGAGTTTACAGAAATTTTATGGCTTCTCACAGTTAACCAGAAAGAAGGAATCCTCATGTATGGAAGAGATAAAAGCTCTGCTCTGGCTAAAGTAGGGGTTAGGATCTGGCTGCCTGCTCTTCTCCAACAGAGGAATTCTTTCACTGCCCTCCTATTAACTGCCACATAATTCTTTGACATTTACCTAATACTCTGAGTCTAAAAGTTGCTGAACAACTCTGGTACTCCTAGTGCCTAGTGTGGTTTCTAGGACACAGTAAATGCCCCATAAATATTTGATGAGTGAATGAGTGACTCTACTGGCCATAGGAAATATGAGAATGATTTGATCTATTCTTTTGATCTTTTTTGTACCTCGAAGATTTATTTCAGATGCAAAGGAGACTTTCCCCAAAAGAGCAATATTGGTGATATGAAAATAATAAGCCAGCATTAATAAAGCACCGTTGTGTACCCGGCACTGTTTGGAATTTTTCTGTGCATTACCTCATACCTCCTCCCAACACTGCTTAGTGTGGGGTTATATTATGTTCCCACTTTACAGATGAGGTAAGGGGCTAGCCTGGGCCACAGACCCTGAGTGTGCATCAGGACGCTGACCCAGACCTGTCTGACCAGGGTCCACACCCTTACATCCCACACTGTAGTATGACCACAGAATCCCTATTTAGGTGGATAAGAACCACATGACTGAAATATCCACTGCAATTTTTTTAATTTAGGAAGTTGTATTTTCTTGAAGCTTTCTGGATAAAATAATAGTTACCTTGGTACTCTTCTTAGACCCATAGGACCCCACCTCAACTCTCAGATTATAAAATGGTTCATGGTATTTCTAACATTCCTTTAATGCAGAGCCCCCGCTGCTTCCCCTGTGAGTAGGGTGATATTTTCTCTTATATGGCTCTCAGGGTCCTGGGGGAGTCTTCTCTGCAGGAAGTGATTAGAGAAGCGGGAAATCAGTGCCTCACTAGTATCAAGAGATGCCTTCTTTTCAGGGCCACTGGAAGTGAACTCTCCAGTAGAGCTAAACACATTGCAAGTGTTTGAGGCTCTTTCTCCTATTACAGAACCACCCCACCTACCCATCCCCCAGGTGCAACCCAGAAGGCTGGTCCCAGCTTTCCTTGCTGGAATTGGGATGCATTTTCCCATAGCTCAATGTTGATACCTTGCTTAAAATCAGGCTCCTAAGAGACTATGGGCTCTGTTGACGTCAGAGCTCAGTACCTTGGAGAGGTGCCTTCCTTCACGTGTAACAAAGTGCGTTTAGGGTTGTAAAACACACAGTTACAAGAAAAAAACAAACAACCCCATCAAAAAGTGGGCAAAGGATATGAACAGACATTTCTCAAAAGAAGACATTCATACAGCCAACAGACACATGAAAAAATGCTCATCATCACTGGCCATCAGAGAAATGCAAATCAAAACCACAATGAGATACCATCTCACACCAGTTAGAATGGCGATCATTAAAAAGTCAGGAAACAACAGGTGCTGGAGAGGATGTGGAGAAATAGGAACACTTTTACACTGTTGGTGGGATTGTAAACTAGTTCAACCATTATGGAAAACAGTATGGCGATTCCTCAAGGATCTAGAACTAGATGTACCATATGACCCAGGCATCCCATTACTGGGTATATACCCAAAGGATTATAAATCATGCTGCTATAAAGACACATGCACACGTATGTTTATTGCGGCACTATTCACAATAGCAAAGACTTGGAACCAACCCAAATGTCCATCAGTGACAGACTGGATTAAGAAAATGTGGCACATATACACCATGGAATACTATGCAGCCATAAAAAAGGATGAGTTTGTGTCCTTTGTAGGGACATAGATGCAGCTGGAAACCATCATTCTTAGCAAACTATCACAAGAACAGAAAACCAAACACCGCATGTTCTCACTCATAGGTGGGAACTGAACAATGAGATCACTTGGACTCAGGAAGGGGAACATCACACACTGGGGCCTATCATGGGGAGGGGGGAGGGGGGAGAGATTGCATTGGGAGTTATACCTGATGTAAATGACGAGTTGATGGGTGCTGACGAGTTGATGGGTGCAGCACAGCAACATGGCACAAGTATACATATGTAACAAACCTGCACGTTATGCACATGTACCCTAGAACTTAAAGTATAATAATAATTAAAAAATAAATTAAAAAAATAAAAAAATAAAACATTAAATAGATTAAAAAGCTACAAAAAAAAAAAAAAACCACACAGTTACAACTGGACATCTGAATCACTGCATATTTATAAGTAGAGACTACCTGGAAAGAATGAAATTGTAGTAATTCCTAATTAATGATCCAAATTCTTCAACATATTCCCTAAAATAGCATTTTCCAAGTAAAATATAGCCACCAGTTTTTACAAAAGGGGTAATGTACCTATTGCCCAAATGACACCTGAACTATAATAATACCATGTTATTTGCCTTTCAAAAACAATATAGCCCTCTAATTAGAAGAAAGTAGCATTTCATTGTTTTCATTCCATTGTTGGTTATTTATCTTTCTCCCATTTGAGGGCACATGTTTGCTGAGAACCGAAATTCAGCAGTTCACAGAGGACTTTCTCAGGCTTTGGTGTGAGTTAATTTTGCCCTACTGTGAGATATGTTGGTGGTAGAGTTTGCAAGCACCCAGTACTCAGCATAATCTTATCTAAAATGTCATCTTCATTGATCCTAAGGCTGACTGCTCCAAATGGTGATCCCTCACTGTTGAATTGCTTAAACAATAGTGTATTAGCATGCGCATAAAAATACAGTCAATCAGTTCTCAAGATCTATAGGAGAGAAAATACATTAACTTAAAAAAAATGTAGATGGCAGTGTCAGAAAATCGAAAATCAAGTTCAATGTCTTGATTCAGAGATTTTTAAATCTGATAAACTGGAGCCACATCATTTGTTTTCAAGCTTGAAGAGATATCTTGTGTACGTGTAGGTTTTCTATTATCTACAGTTAAAATGCATTAAATATAGATAATTAAACATTTATATTAATTGACTTTCAGAAGGTGAACTGGAGGGATTACTTACCCGAGCTGATCTACCGGGAAGAGGGCAGCCTATGTTGCTGCATTTGGTCTGGCTCCATTGGTTTTTCTTCTGTTATTGCCGTTAACCAATTTCAAAGTGGATGAGGCTGAAAGTTTGTAAATAGATTATTATCTGAAAGGTAATTTTATTTCACTAGAAATGGCTTTATTGTGTGTAGAAGAGAAAAAAATGTAATTTGGACCCCTATCCAGATGCTCTTAGTCTAGTAGCAGAAAATGGTTTTATTTGTTAATTTGTCCTTCTAGAGTTTCTGTAGCCAGTCTTTAAATAGAGCAATTTAGCATTTTGAGGAAAAACAAACTCAGCTCTATCCAAGAATATAATTGAAAATTACCCCATACCCATCCACGATAATTACCTTTCAAAACATTTCCCAATGCTTGACATCATAGTGGTAATTGCTTAATGATATTATAATTTCATTACGTAGGGATTATAATGGCAAAATGATGTAAGTTGGAGGCTTTGAAAATTAAGTTACAATGAAAACAAAACCTTTTATGTAAGTTTAAAGCCCTTACTTCAATATAAAATTATACATAATCTCACCCAATTTTTGTATGAATGTCATTGTTGGTAGTTTTAAAATTCATCCATTTGAAGCTTTGGTACTAAAAAACCACAAAACCTATCTTAGTCCCCATGGTTATAATGCATGAGGGTCCCATTCTGTAGTGATATGTATTGGAACGAATGCATTTATATCACAGTTATTGCTCCAGTTTGTATGCATTATGTGGCAAAACCTCTACTAATGAATTGGATTTACCTCGATCCCTTTGCAAATGGGTGATAAAGACCCATGGCCATTACAATGGTTGTTTTCATCTTGAAAGATTCCTGACTGATTGTAAATATATTGTGTTTTCTCATTTAATAGCACCAGCTTAAAAATTTATCTTTTTTGCAAGTGCAGGCACAGAATACATTAAATAATTATATACCATATAACTCTTATGTGCCAGAGGTCAGAGTTCCTCACGATGTGCTGATGGAGTAAGACAGAATCCAATGGCAGGTCCCTGAGAGTTTCACTCATAATCATTTACCTCAGGGATATGTGATTTAAACGTTACACCTGATGGAAAAAAATAGTTTTACTTTTGGAAACGTACATGATTTTTGGTGTAAGAACTGTTTCTTTTATTTATAAGATGAATTTATCATAATGTTCTATATAAAACTAATTGGGCGTCTTTCTATTTCTTTCAAATCCACTATGTTTTGGGGTTGTAAAAAAAATCAAACAGATTCAGTTTTGGGGTAGGGAATAAGGTATAAATGTACATAACCCTTCTTGTGTCTAGCTCACATATCCTGTTTTCCATGATGATGGTGCTAACAACATTTACTGAGTACTTAACTGTGTACGTGTGCTGAGTGTTATTTAGTCCTCATAGGAACAACGACAGGTACTGTTATTATCTGTACTTTACATATAAGGAAGCCGGGGCTCAGAGCAGTGAATTTCCCAATATCCCACAGCTGTGATACGGTAGAAATGGGATTTGGAAGTCAGTCTGTCTGACTCCATCATCTAAACGTCATCCTTCCTACCTCTATGAAGCCTTTTCTTACACTTTAAGCTGTATCAGTACTTCCATCCTGAGTTACGAAGAAAGTTATAGCCCATAGTTCATGATTTATTTTATTATCATCCCTAATAGTAACTATCATTTATTAAACAACTACTATGTGTGCTGTGTTATACATATTACCAGTGTCTAATTTAATCTTCCTCAAAACCCTACCAAATAGGCGTTGTTATTCCCATTTTGTAAACAAGGAAACCAAGGTCCGATGAGGTGAAATGGTCTGTAGCCAGCTTTCAGGCTGTAAGCAGCCGAGCTTCCATTCGCCCCCAGTGTATTGGATTCTAGAGCCCTTGAGTGCGCTTAGCCACCCGGCTGTAGAGCCTTCCAGTTTAACTCCTCATTAATCTTTAGTAGCTGCTTTTGTTTCATGTGTTTGTGTCACATTCACAACTAGACTATGCCCCGCTCAATCACATAGCAGATACTAATTGATAAACTAATTTTATTCATTTCTCTCAAGTAGTCCAAACTTTAAAGGCATAATGGATTGAGTATATGAAAGTAGAGGATGTACATGCGCTCCTTTGATATGAAAAAGTAATCTAAAGGGGGTCATTTTCAATATGGAATGACCATTTGAGGAGTACTCTCAAGGACAGAGGCAGGGCCCTGGGGACTCTGAAGACAACAGAAGAAGATAAAGGAAAGGCAGCCTTCCTTCTCTGAGTTCCTGTTCTTAATTAGAGACTGTGCGGGGTGCTCAGGTCAGCTCATGTGGCTGTTAGCTGAGGGTGCTCATGTGGCTGTTAGCAAAGTCCTTTCATACTTCAAAGATATAAACTGCTGCAGCCCAGAGTCACAGAAGCTCATCAAAAGCACTGCAGGGATTATTGGATCTGGTCCCCTGTCCTAAGCAGGGTTCATCTACAAAATTCTGCACAAATGGTTGCCCCACTCTCTGCTTCACCCTTTCCAGAGTACATGTTTCATTTGCTGGTCAGCTCTAATGCTTAGAAAATTCTTCCTTGTGCTAAGCACCCCCAAAAAAATGACTCCTCTTAGCTGCCACCTGTTGATCCTATTGCTTCCTCCTGGAACCCCAGATTTTCTTAACTTCTTACTCCTATGCCACCCTTCATATGCTTGAATCCAGAAGGGCTGCTGTCACCTCATTAAGCTTTCTCTTTTCTGGAGTTAACAAGCCCATTTCCTTTGGACTTATTGAACTGTTTGCCTCTGCCCTCCCCCCAGGGACTCTCTCATCTTTAACAATATTTTTGGACTATAAGAAATCAGATTTCTTTGTTTCCAAAGCTGATTTATTAAAATGTAAGACACCTTTAAATTTTTTATTAGTCTTTCCTATGTCTAAATTTAATGTAATAACTCCCAAATTAAACATGTTACACCACTCTTCTAGCATAATCAAGGTCCAACTGAATAAACTGGTACAAAGTACTCTGACTGGTAGAAAGAACACTGAACTCTTCATCTGGAAACTGAGAGTTTGTCACCAGCTCTGCCTCTTACTCACCAACCAACCTCAGATGAGCTCTTCAACTTTGTGAACCCTGATTTCCTCATCTATAAAATGGGCATGATAATTCCTGCCTATTTCACAGGGTCATGAGGGCCAAAGGAACTACTGCATGAGAAAGTGCTTTCTAAACCATCAAGGGCTCTACCAATTGAGGTATTAGCAAACAAGACATGTAATCATTCCTCAGTTGAACTCCACTTTTAAAGACTGGTAACACTGAACTCAACTCACAAGAAGCAGCTGATTTCACATTTCACTTGCTTCTCTGCACAGTCCTTAAGAATAGGGATTATTTCCTACCATCATGTCCTGAACACCTAACTCAGTGTCCGGCTCATGGAAGGATCATGCTAAATGTGTTTTTGGATGGTTAGGAGAAGAGTGGGCAGAGGAATGGCTGTGGTACAGTTTTAAACCCCCAATTCACCATCTAGGCACCACTCCCTTGGACCTAACTCCAGTTTGTCAATGTCCTGACAATGTTCAGGTACCAGCTTGGTCTGATTTTGGCTGAGTAAGATGGAACCCCACAACCACCACCACCACCATCTTCCCTTCCTCTGGGCAGTGACACTTAGGATCATGGACTTTTATTCACACCTTCAAGAAACATTCCATTTTTATTGAACCTCTATTATAAGTGAGCCCTGCACCATGCCCAGCATCCAAACTCTTCTGAAGCTCACCCTGGTGAGCACATAGCCCAAAGCTTCAGTTGGGTTTCGTTTGGGGTTTGGTTTTGGTTTGGTTTTGGTCTTTAATAGCTTTTGAAGAGAGAGGAGTGTTGTCTTAGTCACCTCTTTCTCCCTGAGCCTACTCTCTGATCTTCTCTGGCTGGGAAAGTCTTGACCTCTCAGCCTCCGAACTCATTACATGAACTTTCAGAAGTACTCAGAATGCACTCACTTGTGAATACGAAAGTGCTTAGCACAGTACTGGGCACATAAAAGGTGCTCAGGAAACATCTTTTTAAAACATTTTTTTTTTTCATTTCATGCCATTTGTTGGAAGCCAGCAGGCCTTGATAATGACTTAGACAGTAGGTGGGGTCCTCTCTGTCCAATCCATCTAAATGCCTGTCACAAGAGAAAACATTAAGCCATGTTCGTATCCCCAAAAAACTTAACAGACTTCTCCCCTACCACTAATAAAACTACAAATCACCTGACATTTTGTTTTCTGTGTATATTGTCTGTTCTATGTATCTTATAGTTCTATTATTTTAATTCATATTTGTTTGGTAGCCTTTTTAGGATGATTGAATGAGGATCAAGTTTTCTATTTTATTAGTTAGTTTGCACTGTTTTGCATTTTGTACCGCTCTGGCCCATGAAGAAGTTTAGAACTTTGACAACTAGTTTTGGATCCTGGCAAGTTTTCTAATCCTAATGAGCACAACTCTTAAGTCTTTTGGCACTCTCCTTTTCTTCTTTCCCCTCCCACCAGTTCTCCACACTCAGTTTGTCTTGTCGTTTGTCATGAAGTTGGTCCTTCTGCTCACTGGTGTTTCTTCTCCACCTGGCACTGCATGTGTAGAGTCTCACCACTTCCACAGTGCTCCTCCCTTCCAGCCTAAACCTTCTACCTGCATAAAGAAAATCCCCCAGGAGAGATGGTGATTCCTGCTTTGTTGCCCTTTGTTTGGGGATTCTGGGCCAAGCCAACAGCTAACGTGTCTGTGGTTCCCCTTCCCCACAGGTGAAGAAGACCTCAGTGTGGAAGAGGACGAGGAAGTACTGACTTTGTTGTATGACCCTTGTCTGAACTGTTACTTTGACCCCCAAACTGGGAAATACTATGAGTTGGTATAATGCCTCCTTCCAGGGCAGGGAACAGGCACTCCCAGCTGGAGCAGGATAGCAGTTCAGGGTCCCTCAAAGAGTCACCACAACCTGTGTGTTGGGTGACACAGAATCAACAGTAACTGAGAGAAACGAATTCATTTTGTAAATAATGTTCGATGTTAAGAATCCTACATTCCTTTTGTAGATGAGTATGATTTTGAAACTG